ACAAAAGTTAATAACTAGAATCAACAAATGGGACTTACTCAAACTAAAAAGTTTTTTCTCAGCAAAAGATACAATAAGAGAGGTAAATAGAGAGCCTACATCCTGGGAACAAATCTTTACTCCTCACACCTCAGATAGAGCCCTAATATCCAGAGTATACAAAGAGCTCAAAAAATTAGACAATAAGAGAACAAACAACCCAATCAACAAATGGGCCAAGGACCTGAACAGACACTTCTCAGAGGAGGACATACAGTCAATCAACAAGTACATGAAAAAATGCTCACCATCTCTAGCAGTCAGAGAAATGCAAATCAAAACCACCCTAAGATACCATCTCACTCCAGTTAGATTGGCAGCCATTATGAAGTCAAACAACAACAAGTGCTGGCGAGGATGTGGGGAAAAGGGTACACTTGTACATTGCTGGTGGGACTGCAAATTGGTGCAGCCAATTTGGAAAGCAGTATGGAGATTTCTTGGAAAGCTGGGAATGGAGCCACCATTTGACCCAGCTATTCCCCTTCTCGGTCTATTCCCTAAAGACCTAAAAAGAGCATGCTACAGGGACACTGCTACATCGATGTTCATAGCAGCACAATTCACAATAGCTAGACTGTGGAACCAACCTAGATGCCCTTCAATGGATGAATGGATAAAAAAAATGTGGCATTTATACACAATGGAGTATTACTCTGCATTAAAAAATGACAAAATCATAGAATTTACAGGGAAATGGATGGCATTAGAGCAGATTATGCTAAGTGAAGCTAGCCAATCCCTAAGAAACAAATGCCAAATGTCTTCTTTGATATAAGGAGAGTAACTAAGAACAGATTAGGGTCGAAGAGCATGAGAAGAAGATTAACATTAAACAGGGATGAGAGGTGGGAGGGAAAGGGAGAGAGAAGGGAAAATGCATGGAAATGGAAGGAGACCCTCAGAGTCATACAAAAGTACATACAAGAGGAAGTGAGGGGAAGGGGAAAAATAATACAAGGGGGACAAACGAATGTCAGTAGAGGGGGCTGAGAGAGAAGAGGGGAGGGGAGGGGAGGGGAGGGGGGATAGTAGAGGATAGGAAAGGCAGCAGAACACAACAGACACTAGTATGGCAATATGTAAATCAATGGATGTGTAACTGATGTGATTCTGCAATCTGTATATGGGGTAAAAATGGGAGCTCATAACCCACTTGAATCAAATTGTGAAATATGATATATCAAGAACCATGTAATGTTTTGAACAGCCAACAATAAAAAATTAAAAACAAAAAAACAAAAAAAAGAAAATGGAGTCAGAAGGGCAAATGTAAGAGTCTGCAGCAGTGGCACTCGGCAATAGAACACGAGGCAGCAGCAAGCTTAGGGCTCAAGGTTATGGCCAAGGAAGTGGAGGAGGATGGGGAACAAAGATGATTCTGATGTTTCCAGTAATGAATAAAACCCCAGCCTCTGCACATCAACCAAGATGGTAGAGGAGAGTGGACGGAAACACTGGCTTTGTGGTCAGGTTCACTTAGGGTTCAGTTTGGCCTTACTTTTCACCAACTGAATGACCTGTGAGCTCAGTTTCCCCATCTGTAAAAGGAGGAGATTTGTCCCTCTGTTACAGCATCATTGTTTAAGCCTGCATGAGATAACACATGTAAAAGGATTGACACTTTGGGAGTGCTCCACCAAGGTTAGTGGTGGTTGCTATCAGCCCACATTCTCAATAGACTGTGAGTCATGTAAAGATTTAAAGAGAAAATAGGCATGACCACTGTCCTGGTGATACCTATGGATAGATATTGTCACCTCTGCAGGGAGAGTTTTCCCAATGTCTCCTGTAAGCCTTCTCCAGATTAACTAAAATGGCATCTCTTTTCATGTGGGCCAAAGAAGAGTCATGAAGATCTATAGTTGTACTTCCCTTCATATGTTATCTGTGCCTTATCACCAGGGGACCAAGTTTCCATCAGAAAATAGTCTAGAAACATCTATAACTCTGACTAGCATATCATCAGCTTTGTTTGCCCCTGGAAGATGCTAGCTACTTTTCCCCCTTTCTCTCTTCTTTGTCATAACTTAACCAAAGCAGTGACCCCAGAAAATATACTAGCCTATATCATAGACCTTAAATATGACTTTCCCATAAAACCCCACCAAATTTAAATATATATGGGGCTGGGTTTGTGGCTCAGTGATAGAGCACTCACCTAGCGTGCGTGAGGCACTGGGTTCAATCCTCGGCACCACATTAAATAAATAGATTAATTAACAAACAGAGAAATAAATAAATAAAGGTATTGTGTCCACCTACAACTAAAAAATATATATTTTAAAAAATATATGTGGGTGTAGTTTTAGGCTAATTCCTAGGATAACAACTTGTCTACACTAGTTGAATTTGTCCTACTATGACAGAAGAATAAGAAGTTCTAAGGAACCTCTGGTGTCACTTTGCTCTTCTCTGCTCTCTTTCTCACACACACACACACACACACACACACACACACACAAATCTCTTCATGCCCCTTGATGGCTGTGTTCTTAGTGAGAGGAGGAGTGTAGAGAACAACTACTTCCTCATGAGGATCATCTCTCCTTGGATCTGGAGCCTCTGGACTTGGATCCTGGGTAATAAGTGGACCAGGACAACCTGGCCAAGTGCCTTCCCTGGGGAATCAGAGGCAGATTTGTCTTCTCTTCTCCCTCCTTTAAGAGGGTGCCTGTAAACAGCGATTTTCTGGATCATTAGAGAAAGCTTAAGGAGGTCAACTCCACTGGTGTTATCAGGGTAGAGAAGCAGACCAGGAACAGGTCTCTAAAGCCCTGTAACAGACTCACTGCCAATGCTACACAAGCTCTAGGGGATGGAATTTGTAGGTGAGAGGGAGCTGCAAAGTAAGGGAGAAACATCTGTATAAAAAAAGATGGATGTGGTGGGGGTACACCTGTAATCCCAGCAGCTCGGGAGGCTGAGGCAGGAGGATCTCAAGTTCAAAGCCAGCTTCATCAACTTAGTGAGAACCCTAAGCAACTCAGTGAGATCCTGTTTCTAAATAAAATACAAAAAAGGGCTGGGGATGTGGCTCAGTGGTTGAATACCCCTGGGTTCAATCCCTGGAACCAAAAAAAAAAAAAAATTGTACATCTGATGAAATTCATAATTTGAATGTGCAAGGAATTTTTGCAGGGCAGGAAATCTTTGCAGCATTTGTGCTGGGCCTAATATCTAGATATTTACGGTCTCTTAGTTTCTTCTCCTGATGTTGCTCAAATGAGATAAGCCAGTTTTAGAAACTGGATACCTTTTCTCTATCACATTCCTGTTAACTTGTTCCATTTCAACAGATGGCTTCTTTTGGAAGGTACATAGACCCTCAACATCTATGCAGCTTGATGAATTCCAGAGACATTCGCAAATCCCTAAGTTCATGAGTGCAGAAACAGACATCCAAACTCCTGGCTAGCTCCCAAACCACAGTTTCTCTACAGTTCCTCATATTATAGGGCAACCACAATTTAAACTTGAACTAAAGTGTAATCTATCATTTTGTGGTGATTTTTCTTCTCCCCACATACAACTCTGTTCTGATTAAAATAAGAACAACAATAAAATTCATTTGTGAAAGATCTTGTGAGACCTGCAATGAATGAGAAGCTACAACAGTGTAAGGAGCAAGGTGGTCACTGGGGCTCCTGAACTAAGGGTGTCTCTAACCCACCCCACCTCCAAGAAGCACCAGGTTCAAATCCAGGCTTCCACAGGCAGCAGAGGGCTTCTTTGTGTTCTGGGCCTTTAGGATTGTTCAGAAATAGTCAAAATTGGGAATTTAGGTCTGAGAGTACCCTGGATTTCCTTCCTGTCTGCACTTCATTCTTTGGCCCCTCAGACCCCAGGTTTCATGGCACAGGCTAAAGTGCCCTTCAATCAACCTCCGGGCAGAGGCAGGAATTACAGAACAGCAATAATTAAAGGACTCTTACTGAAGTTGGTGGAACTCAAGCTTAGCTACCCTTGATATCTGGGGAATAAAGGATGCTTATAATTATGACTGGGTCTTCTGAGAAATCAAGGAAAACCATCCTCATATATCTACTGATGATCCACGTCATCCCACTTAGAAAACAGAGTTGAGGCAAAGTTTAATAAAGTTACATATAAAACATGATATTGAAAATAGGAAAAGAAGATCAAAAACTCTCAGAGGAAAGGGGAAAAGCTTATCAAAAACCTATATCTGTGTAATTACACAGATATAATTACTGTGATGGTGCATTGCATTTAGTTCAGAGTTTCCTGGCAACAAAGGAAAAAAGGAGAAAAAAAAAAAGCCCAACAAATTACCTTCTCTCGGTAATAGATCCTGAAATAAATTCACAATGTGGGACTTGTATAAAAGGATTTAAATGGCAAGAGTGGACCCTATCCTAATGGCTTTTACAAAATAAGCTAAAGATTTCACATATAACCATTTCCCATGTGGTCTCTCAATAATAGCTTCAGTAAAATCATTATAATATTTAGTTGCAAATTTAACCTCAGAGAAAAGAAAAAGCAAACTAAGCATTAAGTTATGGAGAAGGTGCAGAGTATGTAGAGATAAAGGTGAAGCAAAAATGGTGAATCTTGATAACAGTTGAAGTTGCATTGAGGGTTCTTGGGGGCTCACTGCACCATTCTATTGCCTGGCATCCATTTATAATGTTCTATGATCAAATATAAATAATTGTAAGCATTTGGCAGCCAGGGAAGTTAAGCTACTATGTTACCTAGCAAACACCAGATTCTATTTGATGCAGCTTTATATTAAGTAGTTATCATTTTATTCTGGATCTTTGAAAATTGATCGTTTGGTCTATGGTGCACTGCGTAATATTTAGAATCAGCTCTTAAGCACCATAGCCTTCGATGTATAAGTGTGTACCTTCTCAGCTAAGCACAGTTGCAGGTCATTGACACACATGACAACAGGCTCTCAATGAGTGGAGGGGCAAGCTGAGTTCAAATACCTTCGCTGCAATTCTTCAGGGCGAAGAAGTCCACTGCAGACAGACTTCGGTTTCCACTTGAGATGTATTCCAGGGCCACTCGGAATGGGTTCTCTGGGCGCCCAATTCTTCCCTGCAGCACGGTCCAGCTGGTTCCGTTGGAAAGCAAAGGAAGAAAGCACAGAAAAACAGTGATGAGAAGCAGCCTCACCTGCAGAGAGGGTCATGCAGTGACTTCAGGGTTTACATTCTTCACAGGCACCAAGAGATGGATGCCCACATAGTGCTGGGGATGATGACCCTGACAGCAGCGTGTAAGCATTTGCTTCCTTCTTGTCCGGCTAACTCAGAGACACAATTTTCAAACACACTTTAGCCATGGCATTTCTTTTGTCATATTCTTTTTAAGGCAATTTAAAATATTTGGAATATTTCAGTAGCTAGTCTTATAGGGGAAGAATCTACATAGTGAAAAGGAGCTGGCAGCAGAGTTGAGGCAAAGTCTTCAAAACATTTATCAGTCTATGGATCATTTTTTTCTGGAAATAAAACTTAGTTTTTGGCACTTTATCTGATACCAGAGTCTCAGAACCTTCAGGTCTGCTATGTTGTTACTTATGGGAAGCTAGCAAGAGCTATTTATTTACTGTGGGAAAATTAAAGTGCACCCAAGCATGTATTTTGGAGTAAAAGGTACCTAAGATTGACATGGACTTTGCAAAAAAGTGCAAGCAGAAGAAGATAGAAGCAGGTCAAATGGTGAGCTCTGCATCCATCTATAATGAAGGACACTGACACTGTCAGAGAATAGAGAATAAGCTAAATGAACACTTTTACACCTTGCTCATGCTATTAACCTCTTGAAATGGCTCCTGTCACTGATTGGAACATCAAATTTACTTTTCAACATTGATATATACATATATATATACACATATATGTATATATATGTATATATATATATGTATATATGCATGTGTGTATATATATATATATATATATATATATATATATATATATATATATACACATACACCATACAATTTTGAGTGAGAATGGAAATTATCTGGGCGGTTTTCTTTCCTCAAGAAAACAACTTTACAAATATATAATTGACATTTAATAAATTGCATGTACTAAAAGTATAATTTGATGAGTTAAAATGTATAAGTCAATGGGTTTGACTTAGGTATACACCCTTGAAATCATCACACATTTCATATTTTCTTACCCTTAGCTTTTCATTTAAAAAACTTTTTAACTCCTCTCCCCAAATATAAAGTGATGCTTATTATAAAAATAAATAAAAACTCAACAATTGAGAAAAGTTGTAAAATAGAAAAGTCACCCAGAACCTCATTGTCTAGCAGTAACCAAAGTCACTACCTCAGTGGGCAACCTGCCAGCTCTCATTTTATATAAATGAGATATATAAATATTTATATAAATAGCATATGCTCTCTGTGATTGCACTTGCCTGCTCAATAGTATGTCATGAGGCAGCAAATAGAGGTTCTATTATCTTCTCATTGGCTGCATTTTTAACAAATTGTGCATTACTTCTGGTTTCTGTCATGATCGTGCTAAAGGTAACCATGTGTATTTATCTAAGCTCTGCCTTGGGACAAAGTCCTAGAATCTGAGTCAAAGTGTGTGCCTATTTATAAATGAAGCTTCCTGCCACTCCACCCATGGTGAATCCAGGGGCCCATTTCCACATTTGCTTTCTAACACTGGGTCCCATGGGATCCTTGCTGATTTGGCTAGCTGTTGCTGATAAAGGTGTTGCCTGGGGCAATCAATGACTTCTCAAAGGGGTGCTCCCTGTTTCTGGGCCCTGAATGTTGCTGGGCATGTAGTAGGTATCTTGCATGAAGGAGGTATTTCTGCTCCTCCTCTGCTCTTCTGTAGTTAATTCAGATCACTGGAGTCAATTCCTCAGCCATTTAATAAAAGTGTATTAAGTTTCCCCACAATAGATACTGTAGAAGGGGTTATTGCTGCTGTAAAGTTTGTTCTCTGTTACTGTACCCAGCAGGATTCCTATCCAAAATAAAACCAGTGCAATTGAATAAGGAAAAGGAGGCCTTTTGGTTTAAATGTGGGACTGTCAAGGAAAGAAATATTTGAAAAGAAAATGTAAAGGAAGGGTTCTTAAGGAAAAACAAACAAAAGCAGAATTTTTCTTGTTCTTCTGAAACATAAAGGACCCTATTTTCAAGGAAGGATGGTAGGGAAAGGCATGAGCATTCATATTCTGCCCAAATCATAGCTCACTGTTCTGAGGAATGATGGATTTTAATTCCAGGTACACAGTGGCCCTTGACAATGATTTCCATTTCTATATTGGCACTAGCCCTTTGGATAAATGTGTCAGGAGTTTTAGGAATTAGTTTCTGAGTTACCGATGCAATAACTTTTGTCTGAAATTCTCTGGCCTCCCATAGTTTACTGCTGCAACTTTAATAACTTTCAGAGCAGTTGCCAAACATGTATTTTATATCCAGGGAAGCTGGGACTGGAAGAGGGCATACTAACACCTAGGGTCAGATTTGTTTAAGAGACAGCCAAAACCCAGTGAAAAACAAATCCAAGCTCTTTCCTCTGCCTGCCTCCATTTTCTTTGCTTATATCCCAGTGGTCTTGAAACCGGTTCATTAGGGTCTGGCTGTCCTTGCTTTGGCTGGTGGCAACTCTGCTTATGCTTTCATGGGGGGAGGTTGGGGAGGTTATGTTCTGACCTGAAGCCTCCCAGAAACAGTGCAACTGTATCCATGTGCTGGGGATTTGTGACCCTCCTAGCACTAGTGTTTCTATCCATCAATCTGACAGTGTGGGGTGTCCACCCGGACCTTAGGAAGCCAGAAGGACTGTATGGAAAGCCTGTCACAATCCATTATCTTTTGCATGTCTCTCTGGAGCTCTCCAGTTCCAGTTCTGCCTGCTCTGCCCCTCATTTGCCTGATGGTTCTGAATAAGGCTCTTTTCTCCAAATGCCTGAAATTTTGGATGTTTTCCGATCAATGGTATTCTCAAGCAGAGAAAGCATGTTCAACTTGAATTTTCTAAGAAAAAAACTGACCACCCACTTTTGCTGAGTGATTACATCACAATGAGTAAATTAAAGTTCATTAAAAAGGCAGAAAGGAGTTAGTTTATGAATATCAAGTTCTATTTCTGACTGAGAGCCTAGAAGTAGTATATCGAAAGACCACTAAAGTGGGAACTGAGTCCTGGATTCTGCTTCTGGATTTGCTTGCCTTTGGACAAATCCCTGCACCTCCTTGAATTTTAGTTTCTTCAATAGTAAAATGTGGACATTGAATTAAGTGTTCTCCAAGGGCCCTTATCGATCTCATGTCCATATTTCTCAATCAGATTACAGGAGTCCGAGTGATAAAATATTTGATGAAAGTCCTAGAAGCTGCAATTAACACATAACATCTCACAGAGGTGGGAGAAGAGCAATGAGTCATGAAATCACAGATCTATTCATGCAAAGATGCTCAGTCCCAACCTTCTTGGGGGAAGTAGAGACTTGACCACACATTGGGTTACCTACAGACCTAAGGTTAAAATAAAGCACAGCACTGCTCCTGGATTGCAAGAACAAGAGAAAAATACAACTTAGGGGCCAATCCAGCCCTTGTACTCAATTGCATTTTGTACCCTAGAAATAGAGAAGAAGGTGTCTATTTAATGTTACTGGAGGGATCACCAGTCTGGTTTTGAGGGTAGACACTCCAGCCAGATGGTGGCACATACTGTCAGACAATCCACCGAAAACTCCCAAGAAGCTGTCATGAAACAAAAGAATCTCTAAGGCTCCCATTGTTTCCTCCCAGGTTAGTTTCCATATGTTTAAGGGAAACTGGCACGTCTGCCACAAGGAGAGCTGCTGATGTGACTGAAGGTTTGGCAGCTGTGACTTGGGAAGGTGAAGCAAGTTATTTTAAGCCCAGATATAAAGGGACATTCTGTGATGGCACGTGAGGGCATGGGTGGCCATTGACAAAACCGAAGATGTGGTTTACTTTCCTGCTGTGCAATATCCCAGAGGGCATAATAATGACATCAAGCTGCCCACCTAAGAGGCCCTGGCCCACTGCAAGCCACTCACTGGAGGGCCTTCTGAGATGCTTTGGCTGTTGTAGTGCAGTGAGTCAGGGTCTGGACTCCATTCTCAGCTAGTTAAGCTACTGGGGAAGTGATTTAACTTCTGAGTTTCAGTTTCCTTGTCTTAAAGATGGAGGTGAAAACACCGAGGTTTTTGAATGGGGATGAGGATCAGTGAGAAGGATGCCTACAAAGTAATTAGAGCAGATCTAAGCACACAGTAGGGCCTCAATAAGGGGGCTTATAGAAGACTGCCACCTTCTTCATGGAACCACTCTGGTCCATGAAAAAATGCGAGTCTGTAGCTCAACTCTTTTATGAGATTCAAGAAGGGAAAAGAGTGTAGGTAAAAGAGAGTGGGAAAGGCATTTGCAATTTCTGAATAGCAGTTGCCATTTTTGTTTAAACAACAACAATAAAAACTTACATGGATCTTCATAGGATAAAAAGAACCCTGAGAACTTATGTGGGAACACTCCTACAAGAAGACATGTTAGTATTTGACTATGAGAGCAGATTGACATTCTTCTCTGAATCCTCCAAGGGCCTCTATTTCACTTAGGATCAAATCATTTTCTTTGCCTTTGCAACCTCCTGTGTCTTCTCAGCATGTGGAAAGATGCTTTGTACACTATTTGTCAGTTAGAATTTGAGTCAGACTCCATTTCTCATGTTGCACACTAGATAAAGTATTAGGTTCTCTGGGGACACTTGGGTTTAGGGTTTAGTTTGTACTCAAGGAAGTTACAAACTGGTGAGAAAAAAAAATAAAACTATGTACTGAAATTTACACAAATGGCAGTATATCAGGGCTGGGTGAGCACTAAGGGCTACTGAGGCACAGAGGGCAAAGTGATGTCTCGTACTGGTTGACCAGGACAAGTGATCTTGAGGATAGGTTGTAAAAGGTGGAAAACAGGGATTTAGAAAAGGGCAATGCAGAAAGGGACAGGCATGAGTACATGAGCAGAAGTGACATATTCAGTGTATGATCAGGGAACAGGAGTTTTTGTCTGGTGAGAGTGAATATTTT